TAAACTGTATAAACTGTATATCATTTTCCGTAAAAGTAGTATTTTGCCTCGTGTCCCGCCTCTTCAGTGGCCATCTCCACCTGGCGGTGTCACCAGTGATGTTCATAGATATCTTATATCAGATGTAATATAAAGTATGTAATATCATATCAATTCATGTCATAGATCAAATTGAATCATATTATACAAAATATATCAAATATGATATGTTGACATCATATTTTTTAGAAAGTATATGTTAAAATATATGTTTTGTATTGTATGCCATATTCTATATAAACATAATATGTTTTACTATTATATACAAGGTATCATGTACTGAATATTCTATATTCAGCATTGTATTCCGTATTACGCGTATATATATACATACGTATTGTTTTCTTAATAATATGTCATATATCATGTATCAAATATTGCACCTAATTGTTTCACAGTATATATTAAGTGTTATAATATGTATATATATATATGTGTGTGTCTACTTGATACATAGTGTGTTCTATTTTTTTATATTATATAGCATATATAATGTATGATATATTATAGCATGTGTCATATATTTGAAGTTATGTTTCATGTATATGACATATTACATAGTTTTGATCATATATAATGTTCTAGTAGTATGCATTATATACTATATTATATATAACATAGTATTAATCAAATAGTGTGTGTTATGTATTAGATATCATATATTTTGTATTATGTTATCTATTAAAAATTATATATGGCGAATTATATGTCACATATTGTATATCATATAGTATGTATAATTTAATATATCTCATTTGTATTATATGTATATATATATATCATTATTGTTATATCAATACATACATATCTATATATCATATATTATATATCATATGTTTGTATTATATGTTATATATTACATATGATATATTATGTTGCACTGTATATTGTATTTTATATGATGCATCTTATAATTTACCTATTTTACTTTATATTTTATATTATTACATATATTATATATATATATAATTAATTATCGTATATCATATGTTCACGATCACTTATATACGTCCCATTACTATTATACTGGATCCGTTCTGTTAACCACCTGATCATTGTACAAGCCCGATCGTTGTTTGCTTTCTGATACCATCAGTGGATATGTGCAGTCCAAAATGGATGACTTACTCAACAAGAATGAACCATTCATTGCGGTTTCCAACATGTCCTAGAAATTTTACTCCCAGCCACATGGCAAAGGTCGAACTTCCCAAGTTGAGGCAACTTGGTTCACAGCTCCACGAGTCCAGAACTTGCCTCTAATTTGAGAGCTCGTCTCAAATAGCTCAGGGCACCATGGAATTTTCCGACCTGCCAGAAATCACCAAAAAAATTAGGGACAACATGGGACAGTTGACGCCTGCCCCATGCCTTCTTGTAGTAGCACCCCAGGTTGTTGCAGGTGGTGGCCAGCAAGGAAGTACTGTCGCCCTGAAGCAGAGCATAGGATGATTCGTATCCAGAAAACACATCCAAAATCATCCAAAGAATGACTCAAAACGTCCGAAATCCAAGAGCCCAGACCTCCATCTGGTTGGCCATCAGGATAGCCTCACAATTCACTTGAAACGCATAAAACTACCCAGGGTGGTGTTTGTAATGGGAAAAGATCAGAAAACATCAAATGGCGGAGTTTCCAATGCCTGCATTGTTGGAGCAAAACCGGGATACCCTCCCTGAAACAATCAAATAACATCAAATAACTGGACATTCCTTGCGATATTTTCCCGGTCAGATCATTCATCTCCATTCTGCGATGATCGCGATGATTATTTCAAGTCAACCAAGCCAAGGTCCAGTCGCTTGTCCGCACTTGTGTAATGGTCAACCACAAGGTCGCGGGGCTCATCAATCCATTCACCCATCCCAGTGACACATAAGTATTCATCCCATCCCGTTTCAAATGGGCTTGGGATTGATTCAACAGTGTTGTTCAACTTGACTCATTCTTTCTGCATCAAATTCGAACAATTCGTCCACATATTTCTCGGTGGGCACCTCTCATTTCGACGATCAAATCCATTTTCCACATGTCATAGGCTAGAAATTGCACAATCGCATGCGGAAAAAGTTGATGCATGCAGGTGTAAACCCATCTGAAGAGTCTCATAACAACTTAATTTTCCTGGTCAAAAAAAGCACGTTTTTTCCTGGACCCTTCTCAAAGTCACAAATGATACCAGCTCATGAGAAGCTGTAGACAGCATGACCCCTAAGACATGTAAAACACCACATGACCACAGAGACACCTCCACCTTGTCGCCATTCTCTTTTTTCATATGTATTATATATATATAAGGGCCGCAAATCCGCAATTTGAGACAAATTGTCTTAGTTGGTTCTATTCAAACATTTGATGTGTATGTATTTATATATATATATACACAATATATATATGCTAGCCCCCAACCCAAAAAAAACTACCTTTTGCTACCTTGCAGCCTACTCAGTAACTTGCATTTGAAACATGCTGCATTCTTTAATCAAAGAGAAGATTATTGTTAAAGGCAAATGCTGCTTACAGATTACAATCTGCCTTGAAGAAAAAATATTCCCCTAAATAAGGAACAATATTCTTGCAAGAAAACTGCAATGTGTGGAAAGATGCAATACATCCTTTAATGAAGTTCAGCCTTCCTCTCATTTTTTGCATGACCTTTTTTTTGAAAGATTCCACGTCTTCAAAATAACTGCCTTGAAGACAAGGTATTCCCTTAAGTAAGAAGCAGTATTCTTGCAGAAAAAAACAATATGTGGAAAGATGCAGTGCGTCATTTAATGCAGTTCAGCCTCCCTCTCAAATTTCTGTATCACAGTTGTTTTTAAGGAAAGACTTCACTTCTTCAATTCAAACAATGTTGCCTGTTTTGTTCAGATGTTTCATTCATATGGAAGAGCCTATGTTTTTTCAACAAATACTAAACATATACCCAAGGGGTCTACTTCATAGCAATGCTTATTTGTATATATTATTGCATGCTCCCTTTACATTCCATGTGATATATCTTTGGTCTACCTGTATATATATTTTTTACTGGCCATGTTCTTGCCTTTAATATACCTTTAGGATACCTTTAATATGCCTTTGATATACCTTCCAAATGCCATCCAATACACCTGTATCGTACCTTTATTATACAATTTGATATACCTTTCGTATACCACTTGATATTCCAATAATATACCTTTGATATATCATTTAACCTTGAAAATACCTTTCGTATACCTTAAGATACCTTCAATGCATATACCTGAATATACCATTTAATATACCTTTAGGATACCATTTAACAAAACATGATAATACCTTTGAATATCCCCCTTGAAATTCACCCCAAGGCCTCTTGAAACTACCGCCAAAAATTCCTCAAAATAGTCCTAAAAATTATTCCCCAAAAATAGTTCAACAAAATACCATGACTACCAGTAAAAATCGTAAAAAAAAAGTAGGTTTTTTTTGGCGGGAGCATATATATATATATATCATATCATATGATATCATATTATAATATATATTAATATATATATATATATATAATATACATGTATATATATATATATATACATATATACATGTATATATCTCCCAATTTTTGTTGGTAAACGTCCCAGATTTCCTTGGCAGATTTTGCCCATTTTGCACTCCACGCCTCGGCATATTTGAATTGCTCAAAGGCTGCCCTCAGTTCTCCCTGACGCAACTGGTCCATGCCATCCTGGCGATCCCCATCTTGCCAGTGGGGTATACCCCATTTCAGACACAGCCATCTGGAGAATCCCAAGCCTCACCAATCCCTGCCTTGTTGCAGGAGACCACCAATGTCTCCACATCGCCCAGAGCCAGTTCCCCCTGAGATGCAAAGAACGCCAACGCAAAATATCTGGCTATATCAATGGGATGTGCTCGATTACATGTGTATTTATGCATATATATATATATATACACACATAATGTGTATATATGTATACTACGTATATACATAAATATATATATATATAATGTATACATTTATATATATATATATATATATCATGAATACATCTATGTATATATATGTATATACATAGATGTAAACACATATGTACGTATTTCAAGACGTTATTATGATATGTGTTCAGGTAAATACACAATGCATAACCATCGGATTTTGCTCCTCAATGACTCGACCCCCCATTTCGCAAAGCGGCTGGTGGCTCCATCGCGCTCGGCTCCCGCGGCGAAAAAATGGCTGTGGACGCAGGGTTGATGCGAAATATTTACCCCTTCAACTGGGATGTTTCATGGGTAGCTACAACTTTTTGATACACCAATACCCAACTTCCAAAGAGACTCCGCGCACCATGATCTCAACTTGTTTCTGATGCTGCAAGCATCAATGACGGGGGTGAAACAGTTGAAAAATATCTGCCAGCAACAAGGACCGCCCAAAAGGCTCATCATTGTTCTCAAGGACAGGACCAGGCGAATCCAAAAGATAAAACGAAGGTGTACCCTCTGGTTATGACTAACATAGCTATTGAAAATGGTCATTTTTATTGGGAAAACTCACTATAAATGGCCATGTTCAATAGCTATGTTAAATTACCAGAGGGTATATTTAGGCAATCTTTGGCAATCTTAGGCTGCATGTCACAAGTTTGACAAGCTGTCGACACTCACAAATGCTGGGCGCAAGCTGGAGTTCAGCGCATGACCAAAAAGAGTCTTGTGAAACTTCGGAGCGGTTCGCCTCCTTCAATGCAAACTGCCTCTCTTGGCGTCGGAGAATGTACACTCACCTTTTTGCTTGTAATTTTGGAAAAAATTGCTTGTAATTTTGGAAAAAAAAACATGTCAGTAGGAAAGGGAAACTACTGAATCACTCTCTCATAAGAGACCTTCGGGTTGGACTTGTCGTAACCTGTGGAGAACCCTTGGCGAAGTAGAGACCGCATTGGTTGTTTCACAATGGTTGCTACAAGGAAGAGGTTGGAGCTCGACCCTGGAAACACACAGCTGACCATTGCTCAACTTTGTGCCAAGACTTTGAGGTCCCTATGGTGATGTCTATGAAAAAAAAACTGGCGCGCTAGCGACTGCTCAGGACCACTCAGAAGCGCACCTTCAGTGATACCCTCAGGAGGATCAGAGGTGCCATCTCAGTTAAAACATCACCCTCAAAAAGAAAGCTGAAAAAGGGCCCATCCGGGCCCATCCTTTCTCCCCCCATCGCAGCCACATTGGATCCTGTTTTTGCCAAGGTGCGACGGTGCGACCGAGCTCAGGCAGCTGGCAACTGATTGACTGCCTGGCATCTCTGGTGGTTTCTTCAAAACGAACTCATCATCCCATAGGATCCCAGCAACCAGCCATGACTCACTACCACCTACACCCACCTACCCTTTTCCATATGGCTATGGCAGCTATGGTTCACCAGGAAACGGCATAAAGCGAGACCAGTGTCATATATGCCAATCCCATTTGCAGTATTTGCAGGAAGTGACTTAAGCCATAGCCATTTCTCACCAGCCAGGGCCGAGAGGACCCCATCTCCCCCTGGATCCAAGCGACATCTTGAAGGTCTCTCAAGGTTTCATCAAAGTTGGTCTCAGTGGGGACACATGCCACCGTTAGGTATAGATCATTTCACCCTGCTAGCCCCCTAATCGTCCGCAGAAGAGAAGGATATTATGGAACAGGTTTCTTTGCCCATTGTTGGCCATTGTTTGGATTTTGACCTGCACCTTTGGTTGTTCACCAAAAAAATAAAGTAATGTTTTTCTGGTGCAATTGATTCTCGGTCGGGGGATACATACATTTGAAAAAAGTATGAGAACAGGATTGACCATTCACAGATTTCCTCACAAGTTCAAGTATGATTTGGACCGGACTGTCCTTGTTTGTTTGTTTGAAAGCACCAATGATTGACAGGAGAGTCCTGATTCCCCCTATGCACTGTGATGTATGTGTATGCACAGCTTGTTCCTCCAAACCGTCCAAAACATCGGGACCAAAGTGGCCCCAAAAAAGATGACTTCGGCGGACTTTCCCAGAAATCCGCAGGGCTTCGGAATTTATTGTAGGTTGCGGTCTCTTTACGGGAGGGGAGATCTTGCCAATCTTGCCAATGGCAAGAAATTGTTCACAATGTTTAAAAGTTGCTGGGGTTCCTCCCCTTATGTAGATGTCTAGGGTCAGTTGATCATTAACACATTGCCCCGGTTCATATTTCTAGGGTCTCATAGCGAATCGAATAAATTTGTATCTAGGAAGAAATGGAGAACTGAGAATGTCATGGAAAGACTGGAAATGGTACACGGCAAAGAATCGCTCAGTCCCCTTTTTTCCGGCCGAAACTAAAACTTGGTTTTACAGCAACGCACCGAGGAGATAAATGCGAAGAGCACCCAAACTGAAGTGCAGTTGAGTGACTTGAATAACCGTCCCGTTGATGTGACTCACGCACCACCCAATCTTCACCTGGCAACGGACTTGGTTGGGAATGAAAAGATGGAGGGCAGAAATCACAGCAGCAGCAGCAGCAGCAGGTGCTCCCAAAACCTCTACAAGGAGGGAGAGAGACAGACAGACAGACAGACAGACAGATAGACAGACAGACAGACAGAGAGAGAGAGAGAGTGTGTGTGTGTGTGTGTGTGTGTGTGTGTGTGTGTGTGTGTGTGTACCCCCCCGATAGCCAAGGTCTGGTCTTTTCTGAGACATTTTTCGTGAGCGGGGGGGCGGGACACCATTCAGAGTGCCCGTCAAAGGATCAACAGGTTCATTGATTAGCATTGTGGTCACTTTTTGCATATGCCTTTCTTCACCACAGCCATTCCCCCCAAGCCCCCCGCCCTTTTCCATGAACATACGCATACACATACGCGATAAGCATACACATACACATGCACGCGCGCATACACATGTACATATACACCTATGTGACAAATACATACACACATCCTTATACATGCATCCATGCATGCGTAACATAACATAACACAACATAACATTGCATTGCATTGCACTACACTACACTACATTACATTACATTACACTACACTACACTACATTACATTACATTACATCCATTTATATATATATAATATTATATATATATATATTCACACCTTCATACATACATTCATACATTCATGCATTTGCATCATTTATATAGATACATAGCTGCAAATATACATATATATATATTCATGGATACATGCATACCTGACAGGACATGACACCACACGACATGACATGACACGACATGACACGACACGACATGATATGACATGATATGACGTGACATCAAATTTGGCATGGCATTGCTTTACATTACATCACAGTACATTGAAGTACAATATATTACATTACATTACATTGAATTACATTACATTACATTGAATTACATTACACTACATTACACTAGATTAGATAATATAGACTACATCAGGTTACACTACATCATTGCGGTACATCACTACAGTACATCATTACACTACATCATTGCATTACACGGCATTACGCGACACAACACCAAGTTATGTTACACTACACTAGACTACATTACGCTACACTACATTACATGCATACATACACGAAATCGCATTACATTACATTACAGTAAATTTGATTAGATGACATTGAAATATTGATGTTGCAGTCACTGACAGTACATTGCACTTGAGAGGCGGGCAGAACGAAAGGTATGTAGTTGCAATAGCAAGTTATAAAAGGAAAAGGTGCCAGCAGATTTTTTTGATTGTTCCTGCCACGATTGACGATTGACCCATGTCATTTTTCTTAAACGCAGGTGCAACATTCATGGCATGTAGTTGATGTGGCCCATACTGAGACGAAATGCAGGCGCAATGACGACGATGATGATGCTGGTGAGGACGACCAATATTATGAGGATGGATGAGATGAGGACGAGGCGGGGGGGGTGGGGCTTAGATGTAGACAAAATAATGCCCCAACAATGGAAGCCATGCAGGGCAACGAAAAGGGCAGAAAATTGCATGCAGTAGCCTCTTTGTTCGAACCTCTACTGCATTTTCGTTCGCAGCAAGGTGCATGAACCGAGGATTGAAATTGCGACCATTTCCCAGGAGAGGGCCCAAAATGAAGAATCCTTTCACAATCGAAAAAGTCTCTCTTGTGCCCTCCTGTGGCCAGAAAAGAAAAGTGTACCAAAGCAGCAACAACACAGGCTCAGCCTATTTTTGTTCATTACATTACATTCCATTACGTTACATGGCATTACATTCTGCATTACACTTTGCATAAAGTCAAACTACGTTACATTACAAAACATTAGATTTATAAGCCCGGAATCCCTCTAGGAAGCTGAATTCAGGATTTTCTTTTTACGATTTTAATATGGTTTTGGATACGATTTGACGATATGAATTTGATATGCTTTGAATTTGGGGTTATGATTTCGATATGGGTTTTGTTACGATTTTGATACGATTTTGATATTAATTTGATACGGTTTTGATATGGTTCCAGTGAGTTGGCTTCAAACAAAGAAACAGAAACAGCCCAGGGACAGGTTTTTGGTCGAGTTTTCAAGTGTTTTTATGGATATGGTTTTGATACGATTTTGATACGATTTTGTTACGATTTTGATACGTTTTTGATATGATTTTGATACGGTTTTGATGTGGTTCCAGTGAGTTGGCTTCCAAAAAAAGAAACAGAAACAGCCGAGGGACAGGTTTTTGGTCGATTTTTCGCAGGTTTTTGTGTTTTGATTTGATTTTGATACGATTTTGATACGATTTTGATATGGTTTTGATACGATTTTGAATATTTTTGGGGGGTTGGCTTCAAATCACAAGTTTGACCCACATCAAAAAACATAACTGAAACCATATCAAAATCATAACTGAAACCATATCAAAATCATAACAGCAAAACCAAGCCATAAACAAATCATAACAACAAATCATATCTGAAACGTATAAAAATCATTTAAAAAAAAAACTTCATCCTAGAGACTTCGGATCTTATAACATTAGATTACATTATATATATATATATACATACATACATATATATATATATATATGTTACATTAGATTCGGTCGCGTTACATTCTGCATTACGTCACATTCGTTACACTACGTCACATTACGTTACACTACGTCACATTCCCTTATATACATTCCATCGCATTGCATTACATTACAGTACATTACATTGCGTTCCATTACGTTACATTACATGTTGCATTAGGTTGAATGAGGTTGCATTGCGTTACATTCGTGCACATTACCTTTCATCACATTTTGCATTGTATACATACAATTACGTTGCATCACGTGAAATGACGTCGCATAATTGCCTTTACACTACATGTTGCATGGCGTTAAATCACGTTGTTACATCACGTTACATTAAGTCACAGTACCTTTCCTTACATTTCACGTTGCATTATGTTTAAATTATCTTACATTACATTATAATACACGTTAAATTTTGCCGTACCGTATTACTTTACATTACATTTTTCATTACGCTAGACTATCTAGATTACATTGCATTACATTGGGTCACAATACCTTACATTGGGTCACATTACCGTTACATTCCATTTTGCATCATATTACGTTCCATTAACATTACTTACACTTGAGGTCCGTTTTTGTATTAAACAACAGCGTTTCCCTATGACACGGCCATGGCCTCATTTTTCTCACCCTGCAGACCAGGCTTTAGCCTTTTGCAGGTCAGTGGAAGCGTTCGACTAAAATCAATGCCCAAGGGCCTGGCGGCACATGCCACCAGCCATGAGTGGCTTTCAGGTTTCACGGTCAAATTGAGGAGCAACGAACAAAAGTCAGAAAACAGTGGAAGTGGTGATGGGTTTCATTATTTTCATCAGTCAAAAATGCAAAATTTAGTGCTGATCAGTGCTGATCTGAAGTCACCATAAGCGGTCCTGCTGAGTGTTTTGGGAAACTTTGGGTCTTGGGGGTCTTCAATTTGGAGACGGAATGAATAGGAAAAAGGGAACTTGTTTGAGCAGCCAAGAACCGCCGAATAGTGTGGTTGGTTGAGCCTGGCTGACCAATCGTCCATTCCCACCAATTACATAAATGCCTTTCCATTCCAATGAACACACGGCACTCCAGCTAGTGCAAGTTGGTGGCCGTGGCCTTTCCGTAAATGTGATGTCCTTGCTGGTGCCATTTTGAAGGACAAAGCGAAGCACCTCAGTTTCCAACAAAAACATCCTGCGACGCATCTGATGTCGTTCCACCGTTAAAAACTGACGAAGTAGCAAAGTTGAACCATCGCTGTGGCAATGGATCAGTTTTTCAACGGCCCATGAACAGTGGCGGAGGGGTCCCCAATTCCTCCACCCGATACAACGCCAGGTAACAACTTGCGGACCCTGGTCCGTTTTAATTTTTTCGTCCGGTTTCTGCTCAAGCGGTTTGTCAATCTGATCCTGCGGGGCCAGTGTGGACAAAAGGGTCGAAGGAATACCCAGGTCAAACCCCCGGGACATGAGAAAGAGAATGTTTAAAAATAAAATGCAGTACCCAAAACCCCATGGTTGATCCTGATCCCCGTTGATATGACTATTGAGCTAGATAGATCATTTTTTTATTCATGACGATTTGACATCCGGGATTGTCCTGGACTGGTGCAGGGTCAGCTACCGTGGTCTCAGGTTTTTCATTTCCCTCAGCATTGAAAACCACCGCACCACACAAAACTGGATCTCAATTTCTTGATTTTTCGGGTCAAATGTTGATTCACCGTCTGGGAACCGAACATGGCAATAAAACAGCCCTGATTTATAGTAAATGATTCTCTCATTGAAATTTCCACGTATGGGGGATTTCCCAGCCACCCATGTTTGATTGCTACACGGAAATTAAACTGGGTTCATGGCAGTGCTGGAAGCGCAACAATTGTTGGCATTTCCCATGGCCACAACTCAATGGAACACTTTAAGATGTTTGAGTCTCAAGTCTGCGAACACGATGATGTTTTATAATGTCTGCCATTAGGAGAAATTGTTATATCCTTGGATTGTGGGGACGCCTCACTCCGATGAGTGGGTTATTTTACACCAAAATTACCTGTGACGGCAATCGTGCCATTTACCAAAAACATGTTGCCAGCCTGAAGAAACGGCCATGCAGGTAACAGCGTGCTCCAGTAGTGTTCTTGTAATATCATGGCAGTTTTCCCAAATGCATAATAAGGGTTCCCGTTTCACTCTGGGGGACTGTGTGTTTGCTCGACGTTGCGTTTATGTTCGCAACCCTTCGCAACCGTCCGCAACCGTTTGCAACCGTCCGCAACCGTCCGCGCGAGGTCGCTATGGCCGTGCTTATGGTAAGTTCTGCAAAAAGGGTCACTTTTGGAGGTTCACATGTGGCGTTGCTTCGTTTCGCGTGGCAGGCGTGGCACTTCGTGACATTCAGACGTGTTTTGTAACGTGTCGAAAATCGTTGTGTGTGGCAGGCACAATACTTTTGCGACGTTTTCAGAAGATGCGTCGCAGTTTTCGTGGCAAGCGCAGCACTTTGGACGTGTCGTCATTTTTCGTGGCACGCGCAGCACTTTAGACGTGTCGTGTTTCGTGTTTTTTGCAAATCCTATTGGCAGGGCTGCGTCACGTGGCGACAAGGTGCAGATTCCGTGGCAGGCGTGGCATTTTGTGAGATGTGCTGAAAATTTACGGAAGCCTCGCACGAAACATCGATTTTGGGGTTGCAAATTTTCAGGTTCTAAGGAAAACTCGTTTATTTACTTACTTGGAAATCGGCAGTTTCTCTTCTAACCCAAAAATTTTTTGGGTTGGAGTTTCCACGTCGCCTTCGCGTTGTTCTTTCACTTCCACAAACCAAAAAAAGTTCGCCAAACCACGTCTCCAAAAATTAAATTTCGCATTCGGCAATACGCTCCGTTCAAAAAAAACTCGTGCAAAAAAACGGTCAGCATGTGAACATGTCTGAAATGACGATTGGAATCAGCGCTCTCCTTTTCCCCGAGAGCGTCTGAGCCAAGGGTTCTTCTAATAGTGGGGGTCTGTCAACCATTTTCACATCTTCACATCTTCTCATGTTCGCATCTTCTCATCTTCACATCTTCTCATCTTCACACCTTCTCATCTTCTCATCTTCACATCTGCTCATCTTCACATCTGCTCATCTTCACATCTTCTCATCTTCACATCTTCTCATCTTCACATCTGCTCATCTTCACATCTGCTCATCTTCACATCTGCTCATCTTCACATCTGCTCATCTTCACATCTTCTCATCTTCACAGCTTCTCATCTTTACATTTTCTCATCTTTACATCTTCTCATCTTCACAGCTTCTCATCTTCACGTCTTCACATCCTCACATCCTCACATCTTCACATCCTCGCATCTTCACATCTTCTCATCTTCACATCTTTTCATCTTCACATCTTCACACCCTCACATCCTCACATATTTTCATCTTCACATCTTCACATCTTCTCATCTTCTCATCTTCACATCTTCACATCTTCACCTTCTCTCTTGCCCTCTTGCTCTCTTGCCCTCTTGCTCTCTTGCCCTCTTGCTCTCTTGCCCTCTTGCTCTCTCCTTCTTGTCTATTTCTCTCTTGAAGGCGCGGGGCAGTGCCAACGAGACGGCACGAAACGCAACCTTTTCGCACGAAATGAGGTTCGATCGCCAAAAACTGAGGTAAAATTGCGATTTCACAACTTCCGCAGCAACCTTTTCGCACGAAATGAGGTTCGATCGCCAAAATCTGAAGTAAAATTGCGATTTCACAACTTCCGCGGCAACCCTTTCGCACGAAATGACGTTCGATCGCCAAGAACTGAGGTGAAATTGCGATTTCACAACGTCCGCGGCAACCTTTTCGCACGAAATGAGGTTCGATCGCCAAAATCTGAAGTAAAATTGCGATTTCACAACTTCCGCGGCAACCCTTTCGCACGAAATGACGTTCGATCGCCAAAAAACTGAGGTGAAATTGCGATTTCACAACTTCCGCGGCAACCCTTTCGCACGAAATGACGTTCGATCGCCAAAAAACTGAGGTGAAATTGCGATTTCACAACTTCCGCGGCAACCCTTTCGCACGAAATGACGTTCGATCGCCAAAAAACTGAGGTGAAATTGCGATTTCACAACTTCCGCGGCAACCCTTTCGCCCGAAATGAGGTTCAATCGCCAAAAACTGTGGTGAATGTTGTCCTGCGTTGATTTTCCCTCCAGCGCATATTTCATGAGATTCTCCCAGCCTCGTATAGGACAGCTCATGTAACCTTGGCATCCTTTTTTTCCGGCGAAGAATGTTGTGATCTGGCTGTTTGCAAAGGGTGTTTTCATTCTGAAGATGACACGGATTTGAAAACCCCAATGATTCACCAGAAGCTCTTTGAGGATAATGAGCTGCTCCAAATTTGCACCTTGGCCAAGTTCAATCACTGCAGCTCGAAATGTTTCACACATGTCGTTCCTCGAGAAATCTTCGGGAATGTACTGACACTGAGCCTTTCGTTCAACAGCATTCTGTATGTATTCTGGGGGGGTTGTAAAGGTCCACATATGACAACATGATCGATGGCAGGCAGAGACTGCAGTCATTGCTGGCAAAGTTTTTTGTTCTTCTCCAGTTTTCAGTGTGAAATCACACGCTTCATGGACCTCAACCATTGAGATGAACATCGGGGAGAAAAAACACAACGCAGAGTTTGAGAGAAAGACAGCGAACTAGTCAACTAGTCATTCACAGAAACAAAACTGTACGTTCATGCAAATGACTTGACTGTTCTCAAACCAAAGCTCACTCTTTTTACGTCCCGCCCAAAGACTGTCGCAATGATATGTCCCAAACACAAACAACAACGTCTAATCTGACGTGCTGTTATCCCCGCATTGACAAAGAATGTTCTGTACATTGCTCCAATCACTGAAAAACGGCGAATGCAGTTTCCACATGGGTTTGCAGCGGTTTGGCCTTTTTTTTGGCCAATGCAATTGCTATTGGGTGACCAGAATAAATTACACGAATCAGAACCATTCTTGAAGCCAAAAACAGCTTCAAAACTCCTCCTTCTTGGAAGCTTGATCTTGAACGGACATGGCAGAAGTACTCTCAGAAGAATGAAACTCGAAAAGGCTGCAGTGGAAAAACATATAAACATTTTAGACGAGACAAGTTGAGTATAATATCTATCTAGTTGCCATACATGATCAAAACAAGATCATGTAAACCAAGGACAACACTATTTCCAGACAATGCCGTATTTCATATACCACACAAATCGCAACAATCCAGGCGCATTTTTCTCGGAGAGATCACGATCGATTCGGTGAGACAATACGTCTTTGGGCTTTGTAGGCATTTTATGACCTCAACCGCGAGTATTCGAAGCTTTCTTTTGCTTCTTATTCTTATATTCCAGAGCGTCAGAGAGAGGAAGTGTCCACAGTACGATTTTGCAGGTTTTCATGAATCCTTTTCGATCTAAAAGTGGACTGAAACCTTTTTCTTCCTCCAATTCCGCGACGAAGTTCATCAGCTGTTGCATCCACAGTTTCAATTGTTCCTGACTGCTCAAAGATTGCTTGTCCTTGCACTTTGCAGCAACATTCTTTGATGCATCAGCAAGAAATGTCACTCGCAAAGGGAATTGCTCTGGCAAAATATTTTCTCTCTTGATATACAGGATGTCAAATTGGCTCACTTTGACGATCCCTGTCATTGTGACATCAGCTACGACCGGTGAACCTTTCTTCGATTTTGTTACCTCCGCTTTGGGTTTTCGATTGTCCTGTAAAGTGTCGAAATTGAACACCAGCCATCCTTCATCAATCATGTGATCCCAGCTCAAAAAGCCGTCCACAGGCAAGCATTCGTTCAAGTCAAAGAAGGACATCACAACCCGATTCAGATGATCATTTGACTTGTTGAACTCGTGCTGCTGGTTCAGAGTAGTACAGCTCATGAAATTGCCCTGACCTTCGCTGTCCAACCACAAAAGCTCAATAAGCATCTGCAAGTTTTTCAATCTCCTCAGTTTCCGATCTACAGCCTCGAGTAACGGGTCTAAATCCTCTTTCACTTTCATATTCGCTGCCGAAATCTTGTTGTACAAATTGTAACCAAGATTGTACTGTTTCTGAAATGTGGAGAAACGATGTTTGCGAATTTGCTGGCTGGCACACAATGCCATGCCAATCATCTGATCGTCTGATAATATCTGCAGCTCCAGGGCATCAGAAATAATAGAAACGAAGTCAAATATCTCATTTGAATCCTTTTCTGAATCTTTCTCCGATTCTTTCTCCTCGGTTTCCCTCCCCGGATTCACATCCTGTGTTCCGCTTTTGCTTGGACGAGCTCTGTTTCCTCCGGGCGGGTTCCAAGCAAATGCAGGGCTAGCGGCCTTTGCCTTTGGCTCTGCAGTTTTTTTCTGCAATACCGGGTTCAACAGTTTCAGCTGCTTCAGCTGATTCCTCCGCTGATGATTTTCTTCATCCAGTCGACTGATATTTGCCAAGAGTCGGGGATTTAGAGGACAGAAAGGCTGTGAATGATTTCTCACCCATCGCATTGTGACGTTCCAACGTGCGTCTTGCTCGTTGACCAGATTCAAGGCGTCAATACGTCTAACTTCCTGTCGCATCAAGTCTTTCGAATTCGAAAACCACTCCAATTTTAGTTTCACACCGTCCCAAGTAGTCAAGTCGTCTGCACAAGCAAGAAGCTCTTTGATCTCCTGAAAACTTGGTACACCATGTTTGTAAGCTCTCTGAAACTTGCCGCCCATCACAAGAATTGTTCCCGGAGGCTGATACACAACAAACGCACGTTTGCCCTCGGTCTTCTCTTGTTTCTCTGGTGCTCTGCTGGAGATGATAACCAGCAAAGACCCGAGTCGGCAGGAGAAAGAAGTAATGGGATCTTTGTCCACATCATATCCTTCTTTAATGTCATCGTGAAAAGAGATTCCATGATTCTTGTTGTACGTGTAGCGGTTGATCAGCAAATGAAAACCTCAGCCGGACCAAAAGATTAAATTATAATGATGCCTTTGTCTTAAAAAATAAGAATAATAAGAAACATTATACATACATAAGCAAATAGACCCAAATTACTGTCGAGAAACTTCCAGATCGGCTATACCAAGAAGACGCATTGTCTTGAAGGAAATGTTTTTCAAAGAACTGCTGTATGGCCAATCCCTGCATCGAATGTCGTGCAGCATAGGTAGTACGAACTCTTTCCTGCTTGTTCTCGCCTCCAAAGGAAAATATACATTGACACGATCCTCTGTTTATGGAGGCACTTTCATAATACACCACCCTGTTGTTGCTGATCTGCACAGTTTTCGCAGGATTGTGAGGGTTGACTTTTCTCTCTTCGTCCAGCTTCATGTCAAAAACTTGTTGGCCAAGCATCGGAATCTCGTTCAAGATGTCTGTCGGACTTGAGCTGCTCATCTGGAACAAACAAGAGTGTGTTGTAGACCCCTTTTCCAAATTCCGTGACAGATCATCAATCTGAGTGTAGTTACTTCCTCTGCCAATCATCTTGCAGAACTGCAGCACATCTTCTGCTGTATGAGCAATTTCAGGCCAAGCGAGAGGCATTGCCATTTCGAGAGAGGTTAGCAAACAAGCTAAAGCAAATGCTAATGAAATTGTTCAATAGATTTATGCACAAGCCACTAAACTCAATTAATCATAGCAAAGTCAGTTTACTACCCGATCACGAACGATCCCGATCACGGATCAACTGACAGTGCAGGAATCAGCAGTAGGTGTCTGCATTGTTGTTTCTCATCGTTTCCCTTGTCGATTTTGACAATGTGACTAGCACAGCTTGACATAAAATGTAAACGACAGGTGAATATGTAAATGGTGCTGTGACAACAAGTAAACATCATGACTGATAAAACAGCAGGGCTCTTTGTTTTGTCAGGCAGTCGTGTTCTAAAAACGCGAACAAAAGACAGCCACTATTTAGTAGTTGTCCAATGCCATACGGTTCTTGTGAGCCATTGAATTGTCATATGGAAATCCCCAAATTGAAATTTTTAATTCTTCTTCATCATGCACTCGAATCCTGCTCTTTCTCTCGTTCTCGAAATGAATTAATTGGAGCAACCAAGAATATACACGCCTTTCTGGAGTGTGCGAACCGCGCTCTTTGGCTTGCTTCACAACTTCTTGTAATGCGTTGGGAATGAAATTGAAGCGTAGACACACATCGTGCCCTGCCTCTGCAGCTAATAGAGGAACATCCAGAAAATGTATTCTAAACATATCTTTGAGAGCAACATAAGTGGGCTCCCGTTGTTTATTTTCGATCATCTCTGCAAACACCTCATCCGGCATTGCATCGAAATTGAGAACGAGCCATCCACGCTGCACGATCTCACTCTCAAGGAGACAGCCGTTTTCCAATAAAGTCTGCAAGGTGTTTAAATTCATGCTGAAACGCTTCATATAATTGCGTATAGAAGACCTCGGTATACTCGGAGAGCTAAAACATGACAGAAAAACTCCTTCGAATGTACTTTCCAAAAATAGAAGCGAGTCCAAGAACAGCAGGCCTTTCAGAAGTTTGCGTTTTTTGCGGATTCTTTCAGTCAATGCCTCAGACTGTTTTTTTGAAAGTAATTTATCGTTGCACATGTCGACAATGTCGGAGCTCAAATCTTGCAGCTTCTGAACCACAGATGTCAATTCGATCTCACGAGATAAACGAGCTTGTCTGGGTCCTCCAAAGTAAGAAGGCAGAACTGCAAGACAATCATCTGTCAGAAGCTCGACTGTCTTCAACATCATTCTGTACCATCTGGAAGCAAGTTCGTCTGTCATGTAGTGTTTGGCACTGATTTGCTGCAAATCTTCTTCGGGATTGTCTGATTTCCAATCTTCCTCTGAACGATTGTCATCCGAATTGATATCATCCATGTGGTTAGACGAAGCACTGCAATCGCGTCTTTTCCTCGCCTTGTTCTCTGCAGTACTGAAGTCACGAAAAGTTCTCTTGTAACCACGAATGAGCATTTCAAAAGCTCAAACACAAATGGCAAACTCGAGCCGAGACTGCGAATTCAAATGCGATTGCCGCTTGATGTTTCCATCATGACCAATGTCTCGTGCCTTATGATTCGACCTACCTAGGAAAACAAAAATCAAAACACTTGGAGATGTTCAAAACAAAATTGCCATAGAGAAAAAACTGAATGCAAATCACATTTAAGAGATGATAATCCTAAATTGACAACGACGATGTAAAGCAACGACGTGGCTAGCATCTGTTTTTTTGACAGCACAGACCAGTATCTGCAAATTGCTCTTATCTGCATATGACCCTTGGTGAAAATCAACAGACGCACCAAGAATAGCATGCACAGTCCCAAGCACCACATTAAGTGGATTACTCTGTGAAAGAGTCAGGAAATTAAATTTGAGTGGCGCTCGTCAGCCTGATTGTTTGTTTGAAGTTTTCTAACTTTTCAGAGAGAGCAGAAAGCTCTGACTGTAGCTCACTCAGAACACTCTCCAATTGTGCAATTCCAGTTTGCAGAGCATTCGAATCTGAAACATTTGCCACTGAAGCTGTTTCATCCAATCCCCAAGGATCTTGCCAAAACTCACGGAAATGTTTGTCCCAGGTGTCACCATTTTGGTCACGCGGTGGCTTCATGTGGTTCCTGCGGTACTCATGACATTCTTGATAACTGGTGTAAGGCAAACTCTTTGGATTTTTCTCGTGCAAATCTGGGCATGACTGCGCGCACAGATAGCACAAGTACCTGTCTCGATTTTTGTGCCAAACGAAGAAATCTGTACCATCGTAGTCCCTTTTGCTATAAAGTGGTATTTCCCATGTCCAACGACAATTAGCGCATTGGCCTCCATCTGCTGTTGACAGATTCATGCTCCGATCACGAACACACCCGATCACGGACTCTGCCACGACATTGCCACAGAATGAGAAAATTACCTTGAATGAGATATATTGTCTAACATTGCGCATTGGTTCTAACCATAGCTGATAGAAAGGTTTCTACAACAGCTGACCTTGATACATGTTTTTCCATTTCTATTTGATAAAGCTCTGATCCCTTTGGGTTCATAATACACTGAAAAATATGAAATTGATCTGCCTATGCATTATGTCTATCTGTCTGATCCTTAGGCACAGCTTGTAGAGCTGACTTGACCCGAAACAAGCAAATTCCAATGAAACAACAACAAGCATTGTGAAACAGAAATTGTTAACTTATCATTCAGCAACGAAATGCGTTCATCGTCCTCAGAAAGAGTTTTGTTTTTCCACTGAAGCTTGAGCAATTTTCTTCTGTACGGAATGATTTCATTCCTAATGATGTTGCCGCAAATGTCTACGAGAAAGCATTCCTTGCATTTCTCTCAAAGCAGCACTGGCTGCAAGCTGCTCGGCTGATCGATTCTGAGCATCTCTCAATTCTATATCAGCAGAGTTCTGAAGCAACATTTCCACAGCAGTAGGATCGTTTCTTTTGACTGCAATATGCAAAACTGGCTTCAAATTGCGATTCGTGACATTCGGATTTGCCTGAGCTTGAAGCAGGTACCACATGATGTGATAACTCGACTGCTCGACTGCAGCAACCAAGGGTGGCATGCTATCACAGCTGTAGTTCACGTCTGCTCCCGCTTTAATGAGCATGGGAACGATAGTTGCATGTCTGTAATCGTAATCCACGTCGTGGCGAACAGCACAAATCAAAGGTGTCCAACATTTTTGAAATCCAGGTCGAACACAGTAGCAACGATTAGGATTTGCATTAGCATGCAACAGAAGGTTCACGAATTCGGTGTTGCCCATTCTGGTGGCTGTCAAAAGAGGAGTGCTTATGGCTGATTTCGTCTCTGCTTCAGCACCAGCCTCCAATAAAAGATTGCCTACGTCCAGATGATCTCCGCCAGCTGCCAATTCTAGTAGGGTTCTGCCATATGCGTCTGTAGTGTTTGGATCAAGATGCTCGTACAATAGCAGTTCCAGGATCTGCAGTTTATTAGCCGAACAAGCTTCAACCATTTGACTTCGCTGGGACTCGTTGCACAAAACGTGCCCGGTTCCTTTGACCAGCAAATGCACATCATGCTCAATTTGGTTTAAGACTTCTCCATTTAGAATCTGTGTTCCATCCTTCGAATACAACACTTGTCTGAACCTATTGATTCCCAGCTGGTCAGAGAGTATTTTTTTGATGTCTGCTCCAGTAACACCAGGGCCAGCTTCCAAAGCAATTCTGGTCAATAATTCGCCAGAGAAAATGGACCAAACACGCACGTCCATCAAAAAGAATAAGGATCACCCTCGCGGATAACGTTTTCTGTGAAAAATCTGGAGCCATAATGTTAGCGAGTAAAATGATCAGAGGAAGCTTATGCATCATATGGAAACGGCATCATCGTTTCAACTTAATTCAGAAAAATCTATACAAAACATTTTGATAAAGCTTCAACTATTAAGAAAATATACGTATCAACTCCAATGTTAAAAGCACATCAACATTCTGAACCTCCCCTCTTTTGACACAGATGCACAGAATTCACTTTTTCACATTCACTGAATTCTCCACCATTCACAGTACAGCTTTACTGAAACGTGATGATGATTTCAAGTCTGCATTCACTGGGAAAATCTGCCGATCACGAACTTACCCGATCACGGACATTCCATTCTGCTCGGACCGAACCTCTTGTGGTTAAAAAGAAAAAGACACAAATTGTGTCCATGCAAGCAATGAATCTTTTGAAGTTTTGCATTTGAACATGAACAGCCTTCTGCCATCAACGACCAGAATTGGCAGGAGGAGGATCCCAAACTACACGAGGAGGTCGTGCCTGTCTCGCATTGCTATTATTCGAGCTCTGCAAAGTTTCAACATAGTGTGGCCTTCCATAGGAACGGTTCCATGATCCCGCACCTTCAGTTTCATCCCAAGTATCCTGGGAGGAGTAACCTCCGTTTGAATTCCAGGATTGCCATCGGTTGTTTTGCCGCCATGACGATGAATCTCTCCAAGAACTGTCTTCGGTCCAGCTTCCAGATTCATGTGACATGTTCCGGTCATTCGATCTATTTTCAGATTCATGCACTGTTGGCAGCGGATGCAACGGGAAATTGCCGCTTCTTGATTGTCGATCTTGTTGCGTTGACCAACGATTCTGCCCTCGGTCGGAAGAAGATGCTGCATTACTTGCTTCTTCATTTGTGAAAACACATTCTTCATTCTTTTTTGACAAAATCTGTCGACCATACTCAAGGCAAATTTGATCGAGCCTGGTCCTCAGTGACATCATGTCACACCTCAACCTCTGAGCTTCTGCGATCATACCTGCAAAGATGTTAGAAGTCGATGTTGTTCTTTCATTTCTCGGCGAAAAGGGATCACGCCAAATCTCAGGAGACACAGAATCTCGCTCCGCCTCTAGGCTAAAAAGAGGGTCACATGGTGGCAGCATCTTTAGCCTTCGATATTGTCGGGCCGTTGCCCAGGAAGACTCAAACTGTCGGATCAATCCGTTCGGATCCTTTTGTCCATCTTGTAAAAAAGGGCAAACTTGGGCACAAAGCCAACACAAAGGTCGGTCATATTGTTTCACCCAGTTCATGAAATGAACTTTCTTGAACTCCTCTCTTGTGGCAATACATTTGTTCCATCGCCAACCACAATTGGCACAAAGGCTATTCCCACCAACAGTGTTTCCATCCATTGCCAGGACAGGAGCTGAAAATGTATTTTGCTTGCTAATCGTAAAAACAAAGCAAGACAAAATTATTGGAGTGGAACAGCTGATAAAATGTTGGGAAACTCGCTCGACCTATAGATTTCGAAGATGAACACTCTCTCTTCTCTTGAGCACAAGCAAGCAAAATCATAAGAATTTCTTTCAACAGTGCATATTCCACCAACATCCGACCTCATGACAACAGAAAAGGAGTGCCAAGCAAGGTTGCACGGGAGATTCCGCAAACATTTTCTTCATAACACTGATAGGCATTGGAAGTACACGCATCACCATACTTAAACTCAGCTTCTCAGTCAGGTTGAATTCCATGGATCTGAAGAACACACGAGCGCCTTCAGATGCATGATGCTCAAACTGATCCAGAAGACGCGTTGATGCATGATGTTAAAACTGATGCTGAACATAGGATGTAAGGAATGGCTCTGCGCATGGCACACGTACCTCGGATCCACCCGTGAGACGCGGCCGAACCCATTCGGGCAGAGCCAGGGCTCGACCGGGCAGACCGTCGAGGCGACGCAGAATCAAGAACAATATGTCCTTGCAATGAAAACCCAACATGGGTCTCCCCAACCACCCAACCTCCTTGATGGTACCACCCAATTTGGTTCCACCAAGGCTCTACTGTTTGATCTGTCTATACTCTAGACAAATCAAACATTAGAGCCTGGATCAAGCAATAAAACTTCTGTTTCAATAACCCGATCACGGACAGACCGATCACGAACAAGAAATCGCATCAGACTCAACTTCCAGCAACCTCATCAAGTAAAAGAAACTTTTTGCGATGGGGGTCGGCCCCCCTCAGCGGGAGCGCTGCCCAAATTTCCGGCATGATTCTCTGAGGCTAAACCCTAAACTCTGGATAAAAAGAACTATGTTGTGCCAAAATCTGCATAAAAAAGAAGAAGATAACCAATCCTGTAGACAATTTGCACTTATCTGAGAATCTGACACTTCAGGAATGGCGTTGAAGCAGAAGAATCAAACTCAAGGCCCTCGTTCAGAAAGGTTCCATGGAATGCGAGTGTATAAGCAATATACTCCAACTTCAATGTCCAGGATAGCGCAAAGACGACTTCAGCTGCTGAAAGGGATGAAAAAATAAAGAAATCACTGCATACGAGAGTCGGCTGACCTTTATCTGAGAATCTGACACTTCCGCAATTCCCACAAAACTGAAAGCCCAACTTAACAGGTCGCTAATAGAAGCTGGGGAGCCAGAATGAATAAGACGTAATCATGTCATGTGATGTGCATCACTTGAATACTAGCGAATGCTGTTCATCCGATTTGGACACTCTCAAATATAATTGGCATTATTTGGCCACCCGGAGGAAGATCCGTGAGTCGGACTGTGGTGCATTGACTTAGCAAATGCACTCACGCTGAAGCATAATTCGAAGCGTTGTTTCATTCCAGATCACGGAGTGTTCCCGATCACTGACCTGAGAAACGAAAAAAGAAACAAATCATTGCAGCAGCAAAAAACTTTAGATCATCTGCTTTCACAATCACGGAGGAAACATTTGCAACCAGAGACAACAAAAATAACACGTATCATTCACGTTCCCACTTGGAAAGACAACGCATTGTCGAAGTGCCCCAATCGGGCTCTGCTCCACCTCGAGCTCCGTTAACAAACCATCCTTGATAGGAGCCGTTATCCAGTGCTCCACGGTCCGGGCACTTAAAGCATGCTCGCAACCTTTCGAATTCAAAAGTCTCAGGGTTCCACTTGCCTTCATAGGCGATCCATCCGTCGGAACCCTCATCCCTCTCAATGATCATTGCGTGTCCAGCTCGACCTCCATGAAGCAAAAACTAAATGAAAAATGTGTTCACAATCGAATGCATGAGTTCAGCTGCGCCTGAAACAGTGCACTGTGTGCAAATCAGGAATGGACACCACGAAGCGGGACGACGATATTCAAACATCTGCTGACCTCAAAAAAGCAAAATAAAAAGACAAAACGATAAGCTCGGCCTTCAAAAACAAAACTTGGGGATCGGACTCTTCACCAATTTTTCGTTTCCAATGTAGAACACTGAATCTCGAAGGATAGACTCCTGACAGATCTGGCGAAAATTCATCGCTGCTAAAATAAAATAAAGAAAACCAAGTGCCTCTGCAATAAAATCGCTGATCGCACCGTTCATTCTCACAACAACCTCAACAACTAAAAGAAACTTTTCGCGATGGGGGTCGGCCCCCCTCAGCGGGAGCGCTGCCCAAATTTTTGGCATGATTCTCTAAGGCTAAACCCTAAACTCTGGATAAAAAGAACAATGTTGTGCTAAAATCTGCAAAAAAAAGGAGAAGATAACCAATCCTGTAGACAACTCACTTCTCTGAGAATCTGACACTTCAGCAATTGCGTCAAAGGAGAAGAATCAGACTCAAGGCCCTCGTTCAGAAAGGTTCCATGGAATGCGAGTGTATAAGCAATATACTCCAACTTCAATGTCCAGGATAGCGCAAAGACGACTTCAGCTGCTGAAGCGGATGAAAAAATAAATAAATCACTGCATACGAGAGTCGGCTGACCTTTATCTGAGAATCCGACACTTCCGCAATTCCGACAAAACTCAAAGCCCAACTTAACAGGTCGCTAATAGAAGCTGGGGAGCCAGAATGAATAACACGTAATCATGTCATGTGATGTGGCATCGTGACGTGCATCGCTTGAATACTAGCGAATGCTGTTCATCCCATCTGGAAACTCTGACATATAATTGGCATTATTTGGCCACCTGGAGGAAGATCCGTGCGTCGGACTGTGGTGCATTGACTTAGCAAATACACTCACGCTGAAGCATGATTCGAAGCGTTGTTTCATTCCAGATCACGGAGTGTTCCCGATCACTGACCTGAGAAACAAAAAAAACAAATCATTGCATCAGAAAAAAACTTTAGATCATATGCTTTCACAATCACGGAGGAAACATTTGCAACCAGACCCAACAAAAATAACACGTATCATTCACATTCCCACTTGGAAAGGCAACGCATGGTCGAAGTCCCCCAGTTAGGGGCGGCTCCAATCGGAGCTGCATTAACATACCATTCTTGATACGAGCCGTTGTCAAGTGCTCCACGTTCGGGGCACTTAAAACATGCCCTCAGCCTGTCGAATTCATAATTCTCAGGGTTCCATCTGCCTTCATAGGCGATCCATCCGTCGGAGCCCTCATCCCTCTCAATGATCATTGCGTGTCCAGCTTGACCTCCATGAAGCAAAATCTAAATGAATAATGTATTCACAATCGAATGCATGATTTCAGCTGAGCCTGAAACAGTGCACTGTGTGCAAATCAGGAATGGACACCACGAAGAGGGACGACGATATTCAAACATCTGTTGACCTCAAAAAAAACCAAATAAAGAAACAAAACGATGAGCTCGGCTTTCAAAAACAAAACTTGGGGATCCGACTCTTCACCAATTTTTCGTTTCCAATGTAGAACACTGATTCGCGCAGAATAGACTCCTGACAGATCTGGCGAAAATTCATCGCTCATAAAATAAAAAACCAAGTG